CCGACGATGTGAGCAGGAGTGTACTAAACGAAAGAAAAAGGCTGGCTGTCAACCGAAAGGAATTTCAAAGTGAAAACCCAAAGAAAAAGTGTTACATAGCATGGTGTGTACCGGCGACCTGCATGATCGAAGACGATGATGGTAAAGGACTTGCCAACTATCAGTTAAGACTTTTATTATATGAAGCCCTCACGGGCATTTATTAAGTTTATCTCTGACTCCACATTACAGAACTTGTAATTATGGTCACAAGGAAATATTTACAATTAGATAGGCAACATAAGTATGAAATAATAGTAAACATATTCATATTGAGTACCTGGGAGTACCCGTCCCATGCTGCAGTACTATACTGTTTCTTCCAGTTAACGTGTGTCTTTTGGCTTTGGCCAATGTCCTTAATGTTTGTTGTTTTTGTTTTTGTTTGTTTTAAAAAATTGGGCTTATTCAACTTTGCAATTTCCTGTAAAACCAAGTACAAACATGTGCATTCATGGAAGAGCAATTATCTATTGTGACCCTCAATGTTAGAGGCCTCACAGTAAGAGAAAGAACATTTTTAATTGCCTGACACATAGCACCTTGGCAGATGAGATTTTCTGGTCTTCTCAATTTAAGGGGAAATGTATTTATTCACATGGAACTACCACCAGCAGAGGAGTGATGACTATAAATGACTATAATGACCCTCAATGTTAGAGGCCTCACAGTAAGAGAAAGAACATTTTTAATTGCCTGACACATAGCACCTTGGCAGATGAGATTTTCTGGTCTTCTCAATTTAAGGGGAAATGTATTTATTCACATGGAACTACCACCAGCAGAGGAGTGATGACTATAATTAGAAATACTGATAAAGTTAATAAACTAACACAGGATACTGATGGGAGAATCTGAATGGTGATCTGAATTTTACAGTTGATAACTTGATGGACAGATCAGGAGGGAACCCTAAAACCTGGACTAAATCGGTAGACATTTTTGAGGATATCACTGAACAATTTAGCTTAGTTGACATTTGGCGAGTAAGAAATGAGAACAAAAAACAGTTTACTTGGCGTGGAAAACGCCCTACTATTCAACAAAGCAGACTGGACTACCTAATAATCTCAGATGTTTTGCAAAATATTGTTAAAAAAAGTTGAAATTATACCAGGTTTGGCTTTGGATCACTCCGCTGTTTGGCTGCATTTAAAAAATTCTTGTCAGAAACATGATCCTACTCACTGAAGGTTCAACCCCACTCTAACCAAAGATAAAAAGTATGGAAACTTAATAAAGGAAAAGATTGAAAACTGGCAGGAAGAATTTAAAGATATAGATAGAAGTCAGTTATGGGACTTAATTAAATACCAGATTATAAAACTTACAATTGATTACACTAAAGAAAAAGGAAGAAACCATAAACAGGAAATTGAAGAAAAAACAGCTTAAAGATACATGTACTCAACAGAGGTGTAGTGACAGCCCAAATGAGGCAAATTATAGCTGTATGGAAGAAATCAAAAGGAAACTAGAAGGGCATTATAATTATAAGGTAGTGGGTGCTATAATAAGATCACAGGCTAGGTGGTATGAAAAAAGGGAAAAAACAACAAATCAAATCAAAGGTACATTATCATCAGAGTTTCAGACTTGTTTAACGAGAATAGTCTTTATACCCTGGGAAACAATAGCCTAAAATGAATTGTCCCTATTACATAAACTAAAATGGATTGGTCTTGTTACTGCCATCTCTGAAAATCTAATATACAAAAACACTGACATAGATGAGATAAGCTTATGATGTCTGGAATCCCAACACCGCTTGATGGGATTGCAAAACCCTATATAAAAAAGGAATTGATAGATAAAAGATTCATCTCTCCAGTGAGTCAAAAGAAACTTGGAGATGCTGAAACTAGCCCTAATAGAATGGAGTAAGATGTATATATTAATGAGACCTACTTTTTAGTTGGGGAAAAAATATTAAAACAAAATTCACCACCGAGCGGATCTGCTTAATAATATCAGATCCAGGCGAATCGTTGACAATAAATTTTATTAGCCTATTAGTTAGGAAACATGTTTACCACTGTAAAATGAATGACACAAAACCCAATTTCAAGGGTATTCTAACGTACATGAAAAAAGTCTATCAATGTGAAAATTGGATAGAAAACCACAACAATAAAATGATACAGCACTTAAAAAAGTGGTCCCCTTTACCGGTTATACCATGTATGGAATAAAGGGGCAAATGGTATGAACTAGAACTTGTAGAAAAAAATGAAAACTGTACAAGATAGACAAGTAGTAATCTATTGAATATAGTGGAACGTGGTGAAAAAATCCGTCCATGTGAACCAAAAGCAAACATAAAGGTTCTGAATGTGAGCAATGAATCATTCTCCTTCCTAAGCATTGAGAAATGTCACTTTGAAAAAACTTTGAGCTACACAGGAATGTAAGCATAATTTTTATGAGTACCCAATAAACAAAATATAATAAAATACAAAAACAAGACTCTGTCTTCACAATATTTGTGTCATTGTGACCCTTAAGAAAATACGACATGAAAGTTATTATTCTTGAAAACCAGTAAAATGGCGACATCATAGTGCTACTAACAGAGTTGCTATTGGATTTTAGTTTACCAAATCGAAAAAAATACTTGATGCAATCCAGTAACTATATACCACACAGAATACTATCACATCGCCTCACTGCTGACATGTTTTTAAGTCTACAATCATCCATAGCCGACTTAGCTAGTCGGAACACAAGGTCAACAAATTGCAAACCTAACGGCATCTGCAACATTTTATTAAGTGTCCTCACAAATGCCATTAAAGCACATATATTGAGCTCCCATGGGGTAGTAGAATTTTTTTTTATTAGTGACATGAAAAAAATACTCTCCATTTTCTTTATGAAAAACAAAATTACCATTTCGACTTTGGGAGTTAAAGTCATTGTAATTGGAAAAAATAGTAAATGTAAATACGGCAAAAACCATATTCTCGTCGATTGTCACTTTTAGAAATAAATTGATTATATCTGCATATAAATTCAGTGTTTCATATTTGACTGATATTTGTCTTTCATTTGTGTTTAGGCTTTGCATCCATTGCTGGAAAATGGTAGTATAGATGAAGATCCTAAGCCACATCAAAAAGTTGCAGTTATTGGTATTTCAAACTGGGCACTTGACCCTGCTAAAATGAATCGTGGAATATTGTTATCAAGAGGTGTCCCTGATGAAGATGAACTGCAGATGAGTGCTAGGTAATAAAGGTCTTTCATAATTGGCATATGTGAATCCATTGTGGAAGGGAACTTCCCATGGTACATATAACACTGGAATAAAAGTATTTTTATTATTGTTTTAATAGATTAAGATTGTGACGATGGCATTATCTTATAATAATGAAAGTGTAAATAAAATATGGTCTTCAGTTCATTCTGAACCTTCACAAATCAAATTAACCCATAATATATGTATACTTTGATTTCTTTACAAACAGTGGAATTTGTTCAAGTAATTCTAACGTACTAGACTTTATCAAGCCAATGATTCCTAGTCTTGCAAATGGGTACCGGAAGTTGTATATGGAACAAGACAGAGAATTTTTTGGTTTGAGGGATTTTTACAGGTGAGTATATTAGTACATAACATAATTTCAGATCATTTTAAAACTGACAAACCTATTCCCAAATACCAATGGCTGCATGCTCATAAAATTGCACAAACTTACATCTATTTATTCATGATAAATATTTTGTCCCAGAATATCCACATCTACAATTTGATGAACTTTGTAAAATGTGTGCCCTGTCAAATATTTTAGCAACTGTGCCTTATTTTTTTGAACAATTTGACAAGAAACACTTTTCACTAGGCCTTGCGATTTGTTTTTCAGTTTCTTATGTATATAATAATAATATTTTATTAGCCTTTGAAACTGCGTAAAAAAAAACATACAAGTCAACAACAACAAGAAAAAGAACAAACAATCTATAAAATCATTCATACATGTAAATCATTCAGTTTTTCGTTTTTGAATTTCCTTAGGCGGGTGAGAAAGTTTCAGATTTCTTTTGATGTATTATTTCCCAAATCCTTATTGATTGCCCATAAAGCATCGCTGAGAAGAAAATTTAATTTGAAATTAATTCTACCTGAAAAAATCTATCTACAATAGTTGATTCTCCACCACTTACCACTATTGTATTGGTCAGTGTTGAATAGAATTTACTATTCAATAGGTAGTTGATTTGCCAAACAAATAGAAAGTGATAAACATCCTTTCCATCATTACAAAGATTACATACCCCACCACCTTTATAATATTCCTATCCTGTTTTATTCCCTTCCACGTCTATTGCGTTTGACCTCACCTTAAAGAGGAGGGAGATGCCATGATGACCGACCATAGGGATGTAATTTTCCTTTTCATTGCTCAGTTTAATCCAGCCATAGCGCTTTAATGATTTCATATCTTGAATAGTTTCAACAAAATACTTCTCCTTTTTCTTCACTAATTTTATAGAAATTTTTAATCCAACTAACGATCTGCGGTCTTTTTAGACCATAAATGGAATACATACCATTATGAATTGGAATATTGTTGATATATTCTGGCAAGTTCCTAGCAAGTTTAACCTTGTTCTGATATGATTAATTAATGTAATTTGGAGAAAACTAGTTTGGTCTATCTGGTTTTATTTATCTTTTGTAATCTGTCCAAATACTGTTTTCGCGATTTTTCCTGAATATAGTTGATGTTTTGGCATCCTAGATCTCCCAATACTGCTGGGCATGCTAAATTTCTATTAACTCAAAAGAGAAACTTGCCAAATTGATACTGAATGCTTTTAAGTTTTATTCACTACTTTCAGACAGCCATACACTAGATCCATATTTAATTGATGGCATGATTATATTATGATACATGTATACCGGTAATATATTATGATTATATCACCATATTCAAACCTATTGTAACTGTTGATTTATGATTGATTTACTGTATGCTAATATTTTCATTGCTTTTTAGCTCTGCTGTCGACTTTGTCAAGCAGAGCTTATTATATGAGTAATTGTCTGTCGTTGCCCGTATCAACTTTTTACTTTTTCAACTTCTTTTTGAAAACTACAAGCAAGAATGTTTTGATACTTGGTGTATATGTACCTTGGGTAGACCTCTCAATAGATTTGTTCATTTCATGAGGTTCCTTTTAATTCTCTAATTTTGGTGAATATTTTTGTAATTTTTGGTAAAAAGTGCTATTTTCGAATTCCTGTTAAAAACCGCAAGCCTGATTGCTTTGATTATATATATAGATATATATAGATAGATATATATATATATATATAGATATATATAGATAGATATAGATAGATAGATAGATAGATATATAGATAGATATAGATAGATAGATAGATAGATAGATAGATA